CAGCATGCTTGTTTCCAGATGAGAGATTCTGTTGACTCCTGGTGCATAACTTGATTCATTTTCAGGTGAAAAATTAGGAAGTTGTTTTGGTTTCCTTTGTATTTCCTGAAAATTTCATATTAAAGAAGTGTTCTATAAAGGGTCTGTATTATACTGATCTTTAAATAACAGCTGCGTTAAATCCTTTCCTCCTCTGACCTCTACCCCTTATTGTAATAAGAAACATGTGGGTTCTTGAAAGGAACTGAAAAGCTTGAGCTTTTAAACAGAATAATGGAAGTCATTTACATTAGTCATGGTTACAATTATTCTCCATAACTTTCAAGTCAAAGAAAATCTCCTTGGTGTGCCAAATGTAAGAACAATGAAATTCCAATTTATCAGAGTCCTAGTTGAAGATTCTGATTTAATACTTAAGTAAAAGAAGAGTAGGAATAGAAGGTTATTTTTGGTAGTTAAATTTCTCCATGGTCTGTAAGAGAGTCTATAACTACTATTCAAATTTCATAGACATGATTTTCATGTTTTAAGTCCTTAATTTTCCCATTATAAAATTAATAAAAACTTACATGAATCTGAAGCATGGAAAAAGAGGAAGAAATATCACCCATAATCTTATCACATAATATAATTGCTATCAGCAAATTAGTATAATTATTTGGTCTTTTTCTCTTATGAAAATGTGGTGGTATAGAATTTTTAATACTTGGTTGTGATCATATATCTATGTCCATATGTGTTCATCATACTTTAAAGTATTCCATATTGAATACCTATATAAATATATTTTGTGGCATAAAATATATGTAATTTATATTATAAATTACAATATTTATCATCATAATTGTTTACATGACTAAACAATAGTTACTGATTTCCTATAACCTGGTGAGGAATTTGGTGTCCCAGGAGGGGCTTCCCTCTGTTTCTGCTTCTAAATCAGAATCTCTTCTGTCATACAAAATTCTACATATGACACTGACCCTTCTTTACCATCTTATCCCTCACTGTCACTATAGTCAATTGATCTCCTTGATGCTTGTCCTCATTTGTGAAGGTTTTGATGACCTTTCTCACCTTCTAGAGTTCATTGTGATCATGGCAATTTTATATTCATAGCTTTAACCCGCCCAATGATGTTTAATTCTTTGACATTAATCTTGATGACCTCTACCTCTAACTTTCTCTCTATTCTTGTGGGAATACCTAGTCATGTCAGGAAACTTCACTTCTGAAATCTTAAATCCCCAAATCTCATTCTTTTACTCCTGTTGGCCAAGACTTTTAAAGAAAGCATCTGTTCTTTTTCTTCATGTATGACTCAGTTCTCCTGTCCCCTGTATTGGGCCCTCCAAATTACTGTGCTCCATTCTTTACTTATCTGACATAGAGTTTAACAAGGTCTATCTTTTCTTTCACTCTCAATTTCCTTGTCAACTTTTAAACCCTTTTATCCCTTTACACCTGATGTACAAAACCTCAATGCAAATGTAATCCAATTATTACTCTTCTCTGTTTCAGTCATCAGCTTGGATATCACTCAACTTGCATATTAGTGTGATTCCAGACTTATGCTCTCCATTCTCAGCTAAACCATATGTTCTCTGATCCATTTACATGAAGTATTCCCCTAGCACTTAATCACTTATCTTTCCTATTTCCCTCAGTTGCCTTTCCAAGCTTTTGTTTCTTTTCTAAGAAAGACTTTCCAGCTTCCATCTACCTTTAATCCATCCAGCAGATGACAGTGCCCCCATGAAAATATCAGAAAACAACTTTACAACTTTAACAAGCTATATCTACTAAGGTTCTCTAACAATTATAATCCATTGTGAAATTGTGGCCATTTTATTATTAAGATTAAAAGGAAAAATAGGAGCTCAGTACCACACAATCATTTCAACAGCATGTTAGAAATCCTAGCCAATGTAGTAAGATTAAGAAAATATATAAATATTATAAATATAGAAGAGAAAGAGTACTGTAGAAGAGAGAAGAATTAGAAACATGTGTCAATACAATTTTTATTCAGAAACAATATGTTTGCAGGTTACTGGAGGAAAAAAAGTAAAACTTACTAAAATGACTTTTTGATATTGACTGGTTCATGTAGCAAAGAGATCTATGACCCTGATGAAAAACCACATTAGCCAGATTTTTTTTTTTTTTTTTTTTTTTTTTATAGAGGCATGTTTTATTTATTTATTTATTTGTTTGTTCATTTGTTTTGTTTATACATGCACTGGGTACAGTCAGAAGCGCGGGAGGGTGAGAGAATTCACCAGAGCCAGAGCGGGGAGCAGAACAGGCAGAAGGACCGAGGTACACTGCTGAGGGGAGCAGCGGGTGGCAGGAGAGGTCTGCGCACCATGTGGGACCCTCCTCCGGTGGCCGGGGAGCAGCCGGGAATCGAGCCGGCGCCGCAGAGGCTGCGGGCAGCTTCGCAACCCAGCGCTCTACCGCTGCGCCACCGGGGAGGCCCCTAGCCAGATTTTAAATCTGTGTATGGTAATGGCATTATTGTCGTTATAGTGAAAGGAGTGGTGAAATATATGGGCACCCAAAGGGAAATTTTATTCCAAACATCAGTTCTGGGAATAGTAATAATAATAATAATTGAGTTTCATTTAATATTTTTGTGATACATGTAACCTCTAATTATGTATTTAAAAAAATTTCGGATGCTCAAGAGAATTTCAATATTCTTGGAAAAGAAGATACTTTCCTATAATCCTTCCTCCCTCCTTCCTTTCTTCTTCCCTTTATAACATAAGTTTAATAACTTGCAGATCTTGTTTACTAGGTTTTTGTTTTCTTAAGTCCTTGACTCTGCTCAATTAAAATTCACATTATGTTTAAGATTTTTAACACATGTTATTCCATTATTTAATGAAACCAGTAAAAAGTACAGGCTTTTTTAACTTTCATTTTTATTTACTTTTATTGAAGTAATGTTGCATCATACTAGTACATAATTTTCAGGTGTACAATGCTAAGAAACAACACATATATAGCTTTTCTCCTCTTCCTCTTCTTTCCTCAGCCCCTCTCTGTTTATTGTTATATCCTTCTTATCTTTCTGGTTCACCTTGATTTAACCTTGGATTTATTTCAGTTGTCTTACTAAGCCAGAAGTAGTAATAGGGCTTGTCGTCTGTCTCTTCATCCCTCATCCATCCTTCCATTCATACTGTCACAAAGTTCTTTAATCTTACTGTAGATTTGAAATTTCCACAAAACCTATTTTAATTTCTAAATGTATAGTGAAAATAGCACCTATATTTATTTCATGACTATTACTTCAAGAAGTTGTAGTTTTGAAATATTTACTTCACGTTTTGCCTAAAGAATATATATCTTCATTTCCTTGACAGGTGGTCAATAGCAGACTTTGACATTGTGCATAAAGTTTGAGTGAATAGGTGGGGATTTCAGATAAATTTCCAAATAATCTACATATTTACTCTCCAGAAGTGCCTCTCCTCAAACCTTATGGATCTCATTCTTAAACCTCTTTGGGGTTATAAAAAATTCATAAAACCCCTCTCTTCTCTCACTTGGAGTATCTCCACTAAATTCATATTCCCCCATGAATGATCTCTTTCCAAAACATGGAAGGTGATTTAGTCTTTTATTTAAATTTCATTTTTCGGGCCTCACTGGTGGCGCAGGGGTTAAAGACAGCGCTATCAAGCTGTTGCCAGCCACTGCAACATGAGTTCGCTCTCCTGCCAGGGAACTCATCCATGTGGTGCAGCAGACCTCTCCTATCTCACCTGCTGCTCCCTTCAGCAGTGTATTTCAGTAGATTTGCCTGTTCTGCTCCCCATTCTATCTCAGGTGAATCCTTTTATCCCCCTGCACCTCTAGCCCACACCCTTGTTAGTCTATGCATAAATAAATAAACCTTTAAATAAATCATTTTTTTCTTATAATTTTTTGGTTTCAGGAGAAAGTAAATGTCACAAGCAGTCAGCTAACCCTTTTCAACAAGAACAGTTCTACTAAATTGTTATCAGAATTAAAATAAACATTAACTGGAAATGAGTTCAAAATTGGGTTCAAATCCCCATTCTAACATATGTAGTAACCAGTTAGATGTCATCTTCAAGAAATCATTTCACCTGCCCAGGCCTTAATATTTTCATAATTAAAGTTAAATTTTACTAGACTATGAGAATTAGAGAATATACAATGAATTCAATACATACTGGATATATCAATGAATTTATTTGAAAAATATAACAACTTTATTGGAATTCTTGAAAGATTAGTGTTCTTTGTGTTAAATGGTATTTATTTGAGGGTATATCTTAATTAGTAAATTAATACGTAAATCTTTGACAAAAGAGCATTAGTGATTTCAGATTATCATTTTTACTAAAATTTAAAGCAAAATGTCTAATATATTGATGGATTTTTCATCTTAAATAATATTTCACTGTCACTATAGTCAAACCATCTTATTAACCAAGAAATATTTAAAGGAAATATTTCCAGTATTCCAAATATCAGTTAACTGCATGTCATATTAAAATAATATTTTTAAATTAAAATAATATTTAACAAAATTAAATTTCAAAGTTTTACAACTCAAAATTTAAGATTGAGAATATCCTGTATGTAATTCATTTTATTTTGTGATATTGCCGTGAATTTCACTTCATGTGACTTCAACAATATTTAACATAATTACTACTTTCTAAAATACTTTTCTATGTTGCAACTATTCATCTATCTTACATGACAATGAAAAGTAGTATGTAAAATGAATTCTTCAGTATGCCTTTTAAGAATTGGATAATCGATAAAAAATAACTAAAATATGAAATTGAAAAGCACCTTATACACATGCATTTTCTCCAAAAATTCCATCTATAAGAGCTAGATATCACTTTAATATTTACATATTTGAGTGGAAAAGTTGTGATTCTTTTTTCTAATCCTTCGCATAAATGTTTGCATTCTGATGTGTGATAATTAATATTTATGTTTTCTAGGTATAGCTTACTTGAGTGGAATGTGTAGTGAAAAAAGAAAATGCATTATTGCTGAAGACAATGGCCTGAATCTTGCATTTACTATTGCTCATGAAATGGGTCACAAGTAAGTAAAAATTCTGAGTGCCCTAGTTTTGTATTTTATATTATTAGATCACAAGCATATCTTGTATTTTTGCTTTAGTCTTCAAGTTTTTGAAAAGTAGGAAAACAAGAAGAGGTAGAGGTCATATAAATTTAAAGTATCTTCTGAATGTTGCAACCATTTGTGAAATGTTGACTAAAGTCTTATGACATGATTACAATTTTTATCAGGATAACATCATGGCACATGCTTGTTTTCACTACACTTTTCTAAATGATGTAGATGTTGCAATAGTTATGATAGTACAAACTTGTGAATATTCAAGCATCCAAGAAAAACGTGTGATACATATAAGTAACAATACTGCCAGCCTATGTTTTTTAGTACCAGATACAGAAAAGGAGTTTTCTGCATGGTTTAAGTAGTAATATATCTGAAAGAACTAAATTAGACACACAATCAATCTGCAATGTGTAGATATAATTTCATCTTTGGTCTTTCAATCTTCTGTTGAGTGTTCAGGAATATAAGGAGTTTGTTTTCAAAACAAAAGAAACAGGAAGATAAATATATGTGAAAATCACCATCCTTTAGGGAAAGTTTACAATGGAATAATCTCATTCAATATTGTACCCAGGAATGAAAGGATTTAGATTTTTTTTTGTTTTTTTTTCAAGATTTATTTTTATTTATATAATAGCTGGGGTACAGGCCAGAGGCGGGGGAGGGTGAAAGGATTCCCCTGAGACAGAGTGGGGAGCAGAACGGGCAGATGGACCGAAAGCACTGCTGCGGGGAGCAGTGGGCGAGATAGAAGAGGTCTGCCACACCACATAGGTGTCTCCCTGGCTGGCTGGGAATCGAACCCGCACTGCAGAGGCTGCAGACAGCTTCACAGCACTGTGCTCAACCTGCTGCACCACTGGGGAGGCCCAGGATTTAGATTCTTAATTTCAATGTAATTTTCATAATTTAGAGATATTTCAGTTTAATCATACTAAGTAAAACCATGTGCACTACTTGAATGAAAAATTCTGAGAATGATGTTCAGAGGCAAGAGGTTATTGTTAAAAATTTTAAGACAAGTACAATTAATCATAAATACAGTTCTTATAAATTAAGGAAGGGCAAGTTTCTTTATTAAAATTTTCACTCTTAAGGTGTGCATTAACAGCTTGCTATACGAGCAATCTGAGTACGTTTTCATGAAACAGACATTAAATAGATTGAAAAGTATCCTGAATAGAATATTCAGTTTAATAGGTAATTTTACATTTTTTAAAAGCCGATATGTCCGAATTAATTTCTTTAGTCTCTGTTGTATTTTAAAATGTAGAAAGAGCTCTTACTAAAGAAACCAACCATATTACAAGTTACTTTGTTAACATGTAAAGGCTCCATCAAGAAGCTACAACTACTTAAACTGGAAACTAAATGAGATAATTTTAAGGAAAGGCCACTTCAGCTTTATGTAGCAGAAACATTGGTTTATGACCAGAACTTGGTTTGGAATGGCTAAAATGGTAGTAAAATATTATTTTATTTGACTTTTATAGCGCTGAACCCAAAATCAATAGATTTGTGCCAAAAGTATGTGTAATGCTTGATGGATTAAGACCAGGACATGTGATATATGTTGAACTACTTAGTTGCTAAAAATTCCCCTTACCAATAAGCAATGTGTGTCTCAAAAGTAGAAGCTAGTATTTCTTGTTGCAGAGAGTAAAAGATACTAGCAGTGAGAAAATTGGTCTTTCTATAAAAATAAATAGGTGAAAGTTCATCTAAATTGTATCATCACCATGCAATGTAAGATATAAAGCATAATGAAAGAAAGTGTAGGAAAGAAATTCAAAAAAGATGTTCAGATACACAAAGAGGGAAAGTTTTCATGGAGTTTATATACTTATATCTGTAGCTTCCGTGTATGTGCATACACAGAAGACAGACTTTTTGAGGTATAATTGAAAACTACTCTAGTGAAATAGTTGTTTTTTTTTTCCTTTTGCATTTCTTTCTTCTGTAGTTACTTCCAGTAATTTTCCTAGTAAAGGAAGAAAATGAATCATAATTCTGCAACCCACAATCTTTCAATTGCAGAATCATTCTATTTAAATTTGTCAGTTCAGGAATACCTCTGTAATCAACATGAAATGGGTCCAAACTGATTTGATAGCTTATTGTCTTGAATTTGATTTCTGTAAATTCCCAGAGCAACTGCACATATACCTGGAAAAGTCAAAATTCACCACCAAGTATTTAAAAAAGGACTTGCGGGAGTGAAAATTTGAATAATTAAAGAAAACCACTAAGTTACTCTCTTTACTATCACAAAGGAAACTTAAACAATGTCAACAAAATGTATTGACTTTTTCCTTTGGGGAATTAACTATTTAAAAAGGCTTATATGTAACTATATACAAAAGTCTGTTAAAATCTCTAGCAAGAAAAAGAAAATAAAAAACTTATATTAAGATTTTATGATTCTTGCTCAAAATTGTTTTCCTTTCTAAATAATAGCTCAGGAAATGTTTGTTTCTTGTAGCTAAGTTTCAAATAGGGAATGTTATTATTGGTTTTGTTGTTTCTACACTAATAAAATAGAAATTGAGGTCTTCATTAATTCACTGTGGTAAAGATTAAATCTTTGTATGCAGGGCCACCTTAGAAATTTTTCATTAATTTGATAGGATTTGTTGAGCAAACAGATGTATGCTCATACTCACTATATTATGTATATATATATATATATGATCTTTATGATCAATTTGTTTAAGTTACCTTGTTAATTACAATGAAAGGCTGGAGATTTAAATCAGCAGAGCAGGGAAAAAACCTGTCGGTCCAGGAGACGCACATACTTCCAACTGCCCTCTCCCAGTATAGTAATGCAGACTTTACTCAGTTCTTTCAACAGTCTTGTGTAAAAATACAGAGTGTATTATTACCAGCCAGAGATGCTAACCTAAGGCTTGGTGTCCAGGATTTTTATTGGAATTTGATCAGATAAAGATGGTTAGTTGCCCATAAGGCGAACCTTCAGTTTCCATCCCTCCTAGAGGTCAGTTGACTGTGAGTCAATTGTTAGCATAAGTTATCAGGCATGATCAAGGGGTCCCAGGTAAACAAATGCTCTTATCACGCAAGATATTCTAGGAACTGAGTTTACCTTCCAGAAGCCAAATACAAAATTTTTCTTTGAAATATACAAGTTTTGAACCACCCAGACTTGTAAAGTTAACTCTTTACTGCACAATTGCACAATATTTTTAAAGTCTTACAATCTCACATTTGTATTGTTAGTCTATCTAATAGAAATAATATCTTATTAACAGACATTGTGCTAAATATTATATATTCATATCTAATTCATTTTCACAAAAAATTAATGTTATCATTTTACACATGAAGAAAGTGAAACTAATAGATTAATTTTTCAGGAATTCTTTTGATATTGAAGACATACTTTTTGATCAAATATAACTGTTAGTTACTGACCTTCATTTTTTTAGTAGTCAGAGCTCCCAGTTACCTTGATAACTTTTTAAATTAAAAGTGTTTTCTCTTTCTAAGATTAGGGAAAAAATGTCCACTTTCTCTCTCTCTCCCTATCTCTCTACACTTAACACTGGAAGGCCATCTACTCGATTTTTTATATTTGATTTTCTCATGAACTGCTCATTAAATCTTAACTGTTCAAAATCAGTGTTGATGGAATAAGGAGTTAGGTCAGAATGTAGCACACTGCCTGCTTCATTTAAAAACCTTGAAATAGAAAACAAAAGTCAGTTGATCTTAAGCTGTGTGCTTAGTGCTATAGGAGATTTACATTCTAGCACCAGCTACTTATCTACATCCAAATCTATGAGAGTCCACCTAAAGGCATCCAGCACACAGAACACACTCTGAGTAGCCCTGCCACTTATGCACTTACCCATACTAGTCCTTATTGCAGAGAAGTCTCGTTTAAACTTGAGACAACAGCTTTCTTATATTAGTGTGAAAGATGGTCTGTCCTTGAATTGTGTATTGCTGTCGTCAAATATTCATTAAATGCTTTTTTATTTTTAATGAAGTATTTGTAAATTCCGTGATGCAATCCATTGCAGATAATAGATGTTGCTCTTTTGTGCAAATATTTATTGCTGTTTAGGACTTTTGTGTATACAGTCACCCACATGTGCGCGCGTGCGCGCACACCCACGCACACATATATCACATTGTTTTTTTCTTTAGGATGACAAAAAATTCAGTCCTCTATGAATTCCAATTAAATGTAAAACCGTCCCATTAATATCAGGTAAGCTATTACTAAGATTTGGCAACAGGATTTAGCTATCGTAAATTATATAAGTTTCCAGGAAATAATAATATTAAAGATGTTTTAAAGATTTATTTATTTATGCATAGAAGAACTGGTTGTAGGCCAGAGGTGCGGGCGGTGAGAAGATTTGCCAGAGACAGAGTGGAGAGCAGGTCAGGCGAATCGACTGAAATACACTGCTGAGGGCAGCAGCAGGTCAGACAGGAGAGGTCTGCTGCGCCATGTGGGATGGAACTTATGTCACAATGCCTGGCAATAGCTTGATAGTGCTGAGACTTTTACCCCTGCACTAGCAGGGAGGCCCCAAAGACATTTTTAATAACAGGAAGGTCCCAAAGATACATTTTCCCCCACAATATCCATGCCTTTATTTTATTTTTTTTGCATACCAAGAGTTTTAAGTTTATTTGTTTTTATATTAATTTTTTTTATGTTTTACATCATTTTCCATTTTTAAACAATATTTGCTTCCCTCCACCCCCTCAGGTGTAGTTCCCATAGAGTTTCCTTCAATGCACCCGTGCATCATCACCTCAGTCCCTTGTGCTCCTCCCTCCCTCCCTCTGATCCCTCTCCCTCCTCCTCCCCTGCAGTATGTCTCTGATTTATAATTGTCTGTTTTTGCTTTGTTGTCTACTGTACTGTTACTATTTTTTTACACTGATGTCTTATTTGGTTCCTCTATATTCCTGCTATA